TGTGGCTGAGACTCCCTGGCTGTTCTTGCCACACTCGCTTTTGTTTTCCTCTCTGGCTTCACACCATTTAATGCCCCGGCGACACTTATCCCTAGCCTGTGTGTGTCGGCTCTGTGCTTTTCTTCCTGCTGACTTCTGTGAGGCCCACGTGCACCTTTTCTGCTCTCTCCATGGGGGGAAATGTGTGCAGAAAGCCCCCGAGCTCTGGTTCTGCAGGAGCGGGGCTGGCTGCCTCTGCAGAGCTTCATTAGCGCCAGGCCTGTGTTCCCCACGATGAGAGCGCCGACCGCACTAGTGGGAATGAGCCAGTCCCCGAGGCCACTCATGTTTAATAGGTCTAAAGCACACCCTTTAACCAGGACCCTCCAGCTTGTAAATCGCGGGCATGCCAGGAACTCCCGAGCTCGCTGGACCCCCGCCCGCTCCTCCCCTTCCCACCCCTGGGGCCTGGCCCGGAACCCGGATGCAGCCGTCCTGCCTTAATGAGACCAACTGTGTCCCCGGAGGCTGCGGGCGGGCGGGGGGTCTGGGGATCAGCCCTGGGGGGGACTCTGCTCTCGCAGGACACCCTTCTGGCTGCAGAGAGCAAAGCGTGCGCCATGATCCGAATGGCTTTGCATTTGGGGGGTGCTGCATTTTAGTTCCAGGTGGGGCTCCATGAGGGCATCTGCTTATGATCTGAGTGGGGGGCCGTCACTATCGTGAGGCCAAGAAGGCAGGCAGGAGCTGAGTTTCCTGAGGAAGGCACTCAGACAGGACCTGTCTCTGGTGTTCTGCCCCAAGGCCGGTCCCTGCCTGCGAGGCTGACCCCTGAGATGGTCACACCACCTGGTCTGCCTCTCCCAAGGCCGGGTTTTTCCTTCTTCAGACCCGCCCCCATCCCTGCATAAGCTTTGATTCCCAGACGGAGAGGTTCTGACGGGAGGGCTCCCCTGTAGCTGCAGCCACAACAGAAATACATTTTGAAAAATCAGTTTTAATAAAGCCCCAGCCCTGACCCCAGAAACGTAAGTATTTATATTATTGACTTCTGTATGAGGTGATTTGTTGAGGGGGTGGGGGAAGAGTCTTTCTGCTCTTGTCTTGAGACCTGAGGAAAAAAAATAACTAAAATTAGAGAAACTGGGGTTATAAACGCAGTGAGCAGAATAAAGCAAAATACCTCTGGGGTGTTCATCTGCCATGGTAGTCATTTCATATCTCATCTGTTATATGGATGTGATAGTTTTTTCCTTTTTGATAGTATCATTATGTAGACGCTACAGATTCAATTCCATTTACAAGTCAATGGTGTGAGATTTTATGACAATTCTTTTTTAGTGGGTTGATTCTGCACGATCCTTCTCAGTATGAGGGGGGAAAAAATTTAAAAAGCAAATCTAAGTGGTTGCCTTTCAGAACTCTCTATAGAAGGGTCTGAACTCACTGGACATTTTTTATTGCAGGTCTGGCTTCATGTGCACTGGGGATGCCTGGAAATCAGGTCTGCTTAGCCTCGCTTTCAAGGAGACAATAATTCATAAATTTAAGGACCTGGAGCTCGCAGTGCACAAGCAGTTCTCATGCCATGTGGGGGAACTTCAGATCCAATTTTGAAATAGGAAGGAGAAGTGAACAACTTGAAAGGAAGAATACTTATTAGGTCCAGGCTGTGACTCCATCCAGGGCAATGACAAGAGTCATGAAAAGTACTTAATTAAATATCTCCAAGAGTCAGACCAAGATATGAGTCTGCAGAGTTAAAAGCAAGCAAGCAAACAAAAATGTAAGAACTGTGGGATTTCAATGATGAAAGAAGTCGCATTATCAGTGTAATGGGTTATATTGTGTCCCCAACTAAGAATCCATAGGTCGGAACCCTAACCCTTGGATCTCAGGAAGGGACTGGGTTTGGAGATAGATAGCTAAAGAGATAAGTAAGTAAAAAGGAGGTCATTAGGGTCAACCCCAATGCTATAGGACTAGGGTCTTTGTGAGAGGAGGAAATTTGGACACAGTCAAGTACTGAGAGAAGAGGCTGGAGGAGACAAGAAGATGCGTGTGTGCTAAGTCGCTTCTGTCGTGTCTGACTCTTTGCAAGCCTATGGACCATAACCCTCCAGGCTCCTCTGTCCATGGGGATTCTCCAGGCAAGAACACTGGAGTGGGTGCCATGACCTTCTCCAGGGGATCTTCCTGACCCAGGGATCAAACTTACGTCTCTTCTGCCTCTTGCACTGGTAGGTGGGTTCTTCACCACTGCGTCACCTATGGCAGGGATGCAAACATTGGTGATTCTGAGAGACAAGATCCACAGCCAGAAAGGTCCGGGACTTGAGAGAGAAAGGCAGCGGTTCCACCTCAGGCTTCCCTGGTGGTCCAGTGGTGAAGAATCCACCTTGCGATTCAGGACACAGTAGCTCAATCCCTGGTCCAGGAAGACCCCACATGCTGAGGAGCAGCTAAACCTGTGCATCCCAACGGCTGGGCCTGTGCTCAAGAGCCCGGGAGCTGCAGCTCCTGAAGCCCAGGCCCCTCATGTCTGTGCTGCACAGCAAGAGAAGCCACCTTGATGAGAAGCCTACACTCCACAGCAAGGAGCAGCCCCCGGCTCACCAAAACTAGAGAGAGCCCAAGAACAGCAGTGAAGGCCCAGCACAGACAAAACCAGTAAATAATAAATTTTAAAAAATTCGGCCTCAAAGACAGGACAGTGACAAGGAAAGGTGGCCACTGGGGGTCTCCAGGAAAGGGCAGGAGTTCGCTGGGAGCTTCAGGGAGAATTGAATTTCTCAGGGGGAAGGAGAGACAGGAACCAAGGAAAGAGAGCGTGGAGATGGCACGTGGGAGATGGCGAAGGAGGGAAGCCCAGGGCAGATGGAGCTTTTGGAACGAGGGACCCAGAGTTCCAGCAGAAGGGTAGGGATTCTCAGAGTTTAAAGTTCTAAGGATGGCAAAGTTCTGCTGCAGTTCCAATTCTCTTTGTTGACAAGGTTGGCCCCAAATTTATTTTTATGACTTTAAGGAGTACTATCAATGGAAAGAAAATTAAATCAATGAGTTCCATGGCAGCTTTTACACTCGTAGAAATCTTTAATAATTTCCACAAAACTGGAATTTAAAACAGATTTGGAAAAAAAAAAAAAAAACAGGACGTGGAGTTTTAGGAGAACACTGACATTTTCCATTATAACAGAATTCCAATATTGTTACTTGTGCCAAAGAATATTTCTTTAATGAAGGAAGTGAGCACATTATGGAGTGACTTGGTTAGATATTTCCACGACTAACAAATCATTGATTTCCAGCTCAGGGGTTGTGGTTTTCCAAGCTGTTTCTGGACATTCAGCTTTTTAATTTACCTTCCCAGGGCCTTTTATCTTTTGGTTGTGGGAATTTGACTCATGTGCTGCCCAGATCTCTTTTAGGGAGGCATGTGGGAGGGGTAGAAACGCACCCTGACAAACAGTCCTTAAACGGTTGTCTGTTTGGGCTTTGAATATGATCCTTAAAAATAAGCATCATTAATTCTGTGTGTTGTTCTGTTTTCAATTCTTAGTTGACATTTTATGCTTGAGACAGTTTCTCCCTTCATGCATGTTTCACACTTAACACAGCCCCTTCCTCTCGCACCCCGGGTGGATGCACCTCTGTGCAGGCAGGTGTGGGGCACAGCCCCGGAGGGTGTGCCCACATGTGCCCACACTGTTCTGAGAGCAGAGAGGCTGCTGCTCCGACCTGGTGGCAGCCCGGTCCTTCAGGGCCAGGAAGGAGGAGGCCCGGCAGGATCTGCAGAGTGAGTCAGTTCCCAAACCCCACTTCCCGCCCACCCCTCACCCAGCCCTGCCTCTCTCTGCTTGCGATCTACCCAGATTGTTATTATTCTTGTAGATGTTCCTTGAATGAAGGGCTGAGGCTGCCTTGCAGGCGTCTGTTTCTCCCTCTGGCTCCAATGTAATCAGACCTTCTCTGGTTTTAAGTCACACTCATTGGCTCTGTTGCTGAGCTCACACTCCCATGTGTGCATGCGTGCTAAGTCGTTTCAGTCATGTCCAGCTCTCCATGATCCTGTGGACTGTAGCCCGCCAGTCTCCTCTGTTGAGGATTCTCCAGGCAAGGATACTGGAGTGGGTTGCTATGCCCTCCTCCAGGGGATCTTCTCCACCCAGAGATCGAACCTGCGTCTCTTATGTCTCCTGCGTTGGCAGGAGGGTTCTTTACCACTAGTGCCACCTGGGAAGCCCTTTGTGCAGATTGCCACAAACATGCAGACCCCCCCCCCCAAATGCCTGTCCATCTGGAACCTCAGCCTGTGCCCTGATATGGAACTAGAGTCTTAATTCTGCAGATATATTAATAATTTGCTAAAATGAAGGCATACTGGATTAGGACGAGGCCTCACCCAGTGACCAGGGTTCCTGTAAGAATTGGAGAAAACACAGACACACAGCGGCCAGGGGCTGTGTGAAGATGGAGGCTGAGTCTGCAGTGATGCGGCCACAAGCCAAGCTCCTGGGACCTGGAGAGCTGGGGGAGGTGAGGAAGGAGTCTCCCTGGAGCCTCCAAATGGAGCGTGGCCCGGGGATGCCCGGGTTTCAGACTCCCCGCCTCAGGGTACATCTCCAATCCTTTAGGCCATCACCGTGCCGTGACCAGTGCCAGCAGCCGTGGGCGCTCGGGAGTGGACTGAGGGATTTCCTTGGTTTCCTGCAGAGACTGCAAGCTCCTGGGCCTGATTCTTGGGCAGCACCAACTGGGGAGGCTCGTGAGCCCCGAGCCCTGACCCCACGTGAGGGATGTGTGCAGGGCCCCTGCCTCCACGGGACCAGCTCTCTCCAACCGGCTGAAAACCGCCCTTGATCCGAGAGCTGGTTGTCCAGTGTTGGGGGTGTCCAGCGGGAGAGAAGCTGGTGTCAGCGGGGTAGGAAGGACCCCTCACCTTCTTGCCCGTACATTGGGGGATGGCAGCGATGTCACACAGCCACCCCGCGCCTCCTCCCGGCTCAGACACGGACGCTCACCTGTGGGCTCTCTGTGGCCAGCCTCCTTCGTGGAGACGGGACGATGCTGGGGCTCAGGGAAGGGAGGTGGTGCACCTGGTCGCCTCCTCTGCCCACTTTGTATCGCATGCCCCGGGAGCTCTGGGCTGGCCGTCGCTTCCTCCAAAGCACCTGGCTTCTGCCTTGTGGTTGGCAAGTCGGAGCCCAAGCCTCTCCTTCCCGTGAGGACCTGCGAAGGGGCAGAAAGCAGAGCTCAGGGGGTTCTTGTGAGTCTTGACGCCACTCCCAGGAGAGCCAGCAGTTGCTCCCGTCTGTGAGCCTCAGGGATGTTGCTGCTCACAGGCATCGTGACAGCGTCTGTCTTCCAGGTGGCTTTCACAATTTATCACTATTATGTTAACATTTTATTTTTTTGTGTGACCCTATGGACTATTGCCTGCCAGGCTCCTCTGTTCATGGGATTTTCCAGGAAAAGATACTAGAGAGGGTTGCTGTGCCCTCCTCCAGGGGATCTTTCCAATCGAGAGATCGAACCCACGTTTCATGTCTCCTGCATGGGCCCGCGGGCTCTTTACCACTAGCACTACCTGGGAAGCACCTTATACTCCACCCAAGACTAAAGGCTGGATGTTTCTTTCATGGAGTCAGTCTAGTCTGGATAATGAACCTCTGTTCCTTACATTCAACTTTAACTCTCAAACAGTATATCACACTATCCATATATTTATTTCGGAAGCATGTAATCAAGGAAGAACTTTGCAAATTTAATTCCATTGGACTAGCCTCCCAACTGTGAGTAGGAACTACACAGACACCCTCGCTGTCGGACGTGGTTTGAATAGCCATGGCAGGTATTTGACTGAGCGGCGCGGTCCTGCCATGACTGATGTCTGTGAGCTCAGGATGATACACCAAAAGGGGATGGAAAATATGTTTTCAAGTAGCACATTTATCATCTGCAGGTAGGCATTGGTGTGGATCTGGTCCACGGCTTTGATGCGAAGCCATTTCAACTTTGTTGTTAAAGTGATGAAGTTTCGATCTCCTGTTGTGTATATAACCATCAGGACACATAACTTCTTTGTAATCTTTTGGTTTCCAGCACTGTTGGAATCACGAACAGGCCCATAGCATTTTCCAGACACTTTGTGTCTTCACATGGAGAGCGTTCCTACATGGACAAACGGTCAAAGAGTAGGAAGGCAAAAGAGGCGTGGATGTGGGCGATGGTGTCTGAGGCCTGCTCTGACATGAACACTTAGAAAACCTACTCAGCCCCTTACTCTATACATCTCTGAATATGGACTGACCACCTGAGGAGGACAAAAGCAGAACAAACTAGATCATACACATCAGTGAGATTAAACATGTTTTTAAGACTTTATTTTTTAAAGCAGTTTTAGAGAAAAGTTGAGGGGAATTATAGAGCTTTCCCATCTATCTCCTCCATCACATATGCAGAACCTCTCCTATAATTAACATTGATTTGTTAGATGTGAAGAATCATATTGACACATCATAAACCCCCAAAACCCACAGTTTGCATCATGATTCACCCTGGATGTTGCACGTTCTGTGGGTTTGGACCAATGTATAATGACCTGGATGCAGCATCATAATTTCATATGGGGTATTCTCACTCTCAGTGAATTTTTCCAACTTAAATTTTTGATTCTAAATGAAATGGTTTCTGTGTGTGTGCATGCTAAGTCACTTTTGTGGTGTCCGACTCTCTGTGATTCCATGGCCTGTAGCCCACCAGGCTCCTCTGTCCTGGGATTCTCCAGGCAAGAACACTGAGGCAGGTAATGAGATGGTTGGATCCTATATATATGTACTTTTTAGTTTAATTTATTTATTTTAATTGGAGACTAAGTATAATATTGTGGTGGTTTTTGCCATACATTGACAAGAATCAGCCATGGGTGCACATGTGTTCACCATCCTGAACCCCCCTCAGTCCCCCCACCCATCCCATCCCTCAGGGTCGCCCCAGTGCACCAGCCCTGACCACCCTCTCTCATGCATCAAACCTGGACTGGCGATCTATTTCACATATGATAATATACATGTTTCAATGCCATTCTCTCAAATAATCCCACCCTAGCCTTCTCCCACAGAGTACAAAAGTCTGTTCTTTATAGCTGTGTCTCTTTTGCTGTCTCACATATAGAGTCATCATTACCATCTTTCTAAATTCAATATATATGTGTTAATATGCTGTATTGGTGCTTTTTTTTCTGACTTACTTCACTCTGTATAATAGACTCCAGTTTCATCCACTTCATTAGAACTTATTCAAATGTTTTTTTTTAATAGCTGAGTAATATTCCATTGTGCATATGTACCACAGCTTTCTTATCCATTCGTCTGCCAATGGACATCTATATATATATATGTATATATATATACACATATATATATACACACACATATGGACATATATATATATATATTAAATCTGACACATTTGGTCAGATAACTACTCTGTTTTTAAAAAGTGGCTTGAATTAACATTCCCTGTCCGCACAGATGTCCTCATGGGGCAGGGAGGTGGCAGAGAGCCATCCCGGACAAGGCGCATCTTCCTGGAGATTCGATCTTACTCAAAGACATTTGCGAAGAAAAGCCCACAAACATGATATTCTTTACATAAGTTGTTGGTGTCCAGTCGCTAAGATGTGTCTGACTCTTTGCAACCCCATGGACCGCAGCATGCATGTCTTCCCTGTCCTTCATCATCTCTCAGATTTGCTCAAACTCTTGTCCATTGAGTTGGTGATGCCATCGAACCATCTCATCCTCTGTCACCCCCTTCTCCTCCTGCCCTCAGTCTCTGCCAGCATCAGAGTCTTTTCCAATGAGTCAGCTCTTTGCAACAGGTGGCAAAAGTATTGGAGGTTCAGCTTCAGTCCTTCCAATGAATATTCAGGACTGATCTCCTTTAGGATGGACTGGTTTGATCTCCTTGCTGTCCAAGGGGCTCTTAAGAATCTTCTCCAACACCACAGTTCAAAAGCATCAATTCTTCCCTGCTCAGATTTCTTTAGGATCTGAAGCTCGCATCTGTACATCACTAGTGGAAAACCCATAGCCTTGACTATATGCATTACATAAGTATGAGCATGTAAAAAATTTATAAATTACTAGAATAAACATCAAAGAAATCTCACAGCTGTGGAGCACCATCCAGACGGCAGCGCCTTCTTGTAATAGTTTCAGCGCGTGGAGTACAAGCCCAAGCCTGCTTCATCGGGCCCCCTCTGCTCTGGGCTGAGATCTTCCCTCGTGTCTCCACCAGTCATAAGATGGACATGTCCCCAGCTTCAGTGCTGAAAGTAATAACGTCCAGGACTTAGGACAGCAGGCTGTCCCCTTGGGAGGCGGCACAGGGAGGTCCGGAGTCCAGTGAGTGTCTCTGTACGGGTGACGGAGGGCGGCTGGGATACAAGCCTGGGATTCCGCTTCCTCCCACGTCTGGTGCTCCCAGGGGAAAGTCCTGTCCTCGGGGGCTCTCTGGCACCCCACTTCTCTACAGGCCACAGCCCCCACTCTACCATTTCATGGTCTCGCAGACTTGATGCTGGTGGGACCTGTAAGTCAGCGGACACACTCAGAGCTGAGCTGATGCTGCGGTTTCCTCCGTGCCCTCAGCTTAGGGTGCAGCAGCTCAGGGTGGTCAGGGACCCCTCTCTTGTCCTCCAGGCTTCCTTCGGGGTACAGGCTGTCTGCATCCAGATCTTCCTCAGCCTTGTTTCCATCATAATTTTCCTCCTTTGCTTTATTTTCCTTAGCGTTTTCCTGTCTGCTTGGTAACCAATGAAGACCTTACTTCCTGAATCATTTCTAACTTTCCACCCTTATGAAGTTTATGCAGTAAAACGTCAAATCCGTATTTATTTGCTTGGGATGGTGAAACTAGTAAATTATATAGATTCACAAAAAGAGAAAACTTAATAAAAGAGGCTGTATTTACTCTCCTGAAAGTCTAAAGATCTTCATTTACTCTTAGCTTGGAAGTACACCCTTGCTTGCTTTAGTCTTGGACCCTTTCAGATCTCAGCCAGTTTTAAACTTTAGAGACCACAGAGCAGGATGGATGGCCAATTCTGTGGACACATATTTCACCCACGTGCAGAATTTCCTTTTTTCTTTCTTGTTTTTTTTTTTTTTCTTGGCCAGACTGCGTGGCTTGTGAAATCTTAGTTCCCTGACCAGGGATTGAACCCATGCCCTCAACAGTGAGAGTGCAGAGTTCTAACCACTGGACTACCAGGGAATTTCTGGAAATCCGACATTTTCGATAAGAGATTGTAGCAGTTTGGGGGTACCGTTTCCCCTTCTAGGGATTGTTATTATTACTTGCTTATTTCTTTAGTTACTAGCCATATTACTTTAATGACACACATTTCTCTCTTTCAGTGTTTAACTTCTTTTTAAGAAATATTTAATTGCTGACTACATCAGGTGCAGCATAGAGGACTCAACTGCTGTGGGGCATGGGCTTAGTTGCTCGGTAGCGTGTGGGATTTTCCCACATCCCCTACATCGCAAGGTGGATTCTCAACCACTGGACCACCAGGGAAGTCCTGAATGCAGAATTTCTAACACACAGGAGACATACTGGTGTGTATTTTTAAAACACAATTATAGGCTGTCCCTCAGAGGCTATTTTATGTCTTTGGGGATGACATGTGTTAGAATGATAAACATTTTTAAAAAGGGATGGATATAGTTGGGAATTCCACTTTTCCATGCTAAGGTTGTCTTGAATCGAGATTCAGGATGATATGGAAGTTATAATAGCACAAAGAAACCTTACTGACCCTTTGCTCCTTATTTCTAAAATCAAAATGATGCTAATTTTGATCAGGCCTTTGAGAATTTTAGGATACAATTCACAGTCCAGGGACACCTGTCACTTTGATAGAAAATCAGTGTGGATTCTTTAGACGTGCTGAAAAGAACAGCCTTTTCTTTTGTCAATTAGCAGAGATGGCAGACATAAAAAGGAAATGACAAGATCCAAGAGAAAGGAACACTTTGGAACCTGCCTCACAGAGCGATCCAGGTAAAAAAAGCAAATGCTCTTGGTTGTGTTCAGACAGAATTCCTCGAGCAACTCACGCCAGGGCTCATTTCAGTGCAGTCAGAGGACCCGAGAGTTAAGAAAAATCCCCTTTTAAAAATTCCAAAACATAAAATTCAGCTTAGGTTACTGTAGCTCTTCAGGATTGAGAGATGGTGTTTCTGTGGGTTGTGGGGAGAAGAAGGGGCAGAAATGCATTTTGTACACATTCCATGAATGCCGCAAACCTTCGTGATGCAGCATATGGAGCTGCAAATTCTGCCAGAAGCCCTGGGATCCCGGAACCCTCCTGGGCCCCCCGTGGGGGTGGGGTCAGCCCTACATCTCTGCACTCGGGGGTCCCACACTGCACCATCTTGGCCTGTGTGCGGCATGTGGACGGCCCGACAGGGAGAGCAAGGAGGGAAAAAAAAGGATCTGGCTGGCGGTCAGAGCAGCAGGAGCAGTTACAGATGCTGCTATTTACACTATTTTCACATTTGGAAGAACAAAGAGCAGGAGGCTGCCAACAACTCTCAGGAACTCAGCGTTCGCCGTGCTCAGCCAATCTGCGGGCTGGAGCAGGCAGGGTACCACTTCACGGACACAGAGCATCTCTATTCTGATGGGGGCTCTGCCAGCAGCCTGTGCGTCGAAGCTGGAGGAGGAAGGACGTCAGGACCCTCCACTTGTCACTGCTCCCAAACCTCCCCTGGGGACCAGCGCCGAGAGCCCCGCCTCCGACTCAGCCTGGACGCACCAGACGGAGACAGATTGATGGCTTCAGCCCTCATCCCCGCATTTGAATTGCAGATGCGCGGAGCGGGGTCTCCTGTGGTCTCGTGCGACGCACCCCTTGTCAGGGCTGCATATTGTTCCTTGTGAAACTCAAGGAGCTGGATGAAGACAAAAGTTATTTATTTGGGGACCAGATTACCACAAATTAATTCCTGGACGGAGTACAGGAGAGCCTGTGCAGGAGCCTGGGTGGCGGGCCGGGGTACCTATCGCTCATCCTCAGCCGTGTGACTCCGAGGACGCCTGCTGTATTTAGCCCAACACAGCGCATCCTGGGAGACTGGTATATTACCTCCACGCCCAGAGACTGCCTGACCTGGTTGTGAAGTGTTCACCAAAGTGGAACCATCTCAGCTAGACTGAGGAGATGAATAGCCCTTTGGGGATTTTATTGGGTACTACCCACCAGTCATATCACCAGGCAGAATCCGTTTGTTTTCCGTTAGGAGATCTGTTGAAAGCATTACAATAAAAGTTATTTAAGTCACACAGTCTTTAATCTTCTTGCAAAATATTGTGCCCATGCCAGCTATGAATCATATCCTATTGTTATGCCTTTTTATAGTCTGATAATCTGTATTGTGTGTTTATAACCCACGTATGCTGTATTTTATGGGGGGTGGGGAAGTCCCTACAACCAGCAATCCACAACCCATGAATTTACCACCTTAACTTCTTGGGTTGAGGTTGAGTCATGCAAGCAAGATTCAAATGCATCAAGTGGAGAATTATTTGTGGGTCTGACGCCCTGATTCAGGGCAAAGGTAACACCTTCTCTCACTGCTTCTTTTCTCTGACACAATAGTTACCCGAAGGGAAGCTTCTCCCAATGATAAGCACTTGGAAGAGAGGGCTGGGTGAACTAGTCATCAACCAGAGTGACTGCAGACCTAAGGAGCATTGTTCTTGACCTTCAGGGAAGGGTGGGTCTGACTTTGGGACTGTGCCCTAGAGCTCACCTGGCCGTCACTTGTTTGAGACCCAGAACATCCATCTCTCCCCACGTCTTGGTGGCGAGCCTCCCAGGCTGGTCTGCAAGCACTTGTGCATTTCCGATAGTGGCATGCATCAGTCTCCAATTGTAACAATGTTTCTGGACAAAATGACAGACGAGAACCTCTTTTTCCCTGTCCTCTCACTGTGGCTCGGCAACGGGAACCAAGATTGCACTCCTCCCCACCCTGTAAGCCTAACAGTGATGGTGGGACCCCAGTGAACACAGTGCTCTCTAAGGATGGGCCTGGAGATGGCAGGGGAGGGGCGTGGAGACTGGGTGTCCTGCTTCTACAAACCCAGGCATGATGCCAGTGGTGCTCCTCCAGCCTGGGGGCATTAAGTGTCTTCCGGGAATTTGACCCTCCTTCCCACTGTCCAGTGGGAGCTGGGGTGTCTGGGGTGCCCACACCCAGCATCTGGGGTCCTCCTTGTGGTGACATGATACACACTTGTGCTGCCCCTGCTCCAGGTGGCCTTACAAAGCATCCAGTTGCAGGCTGAGAGTTGGCTGCCCACTCAGGAGCTCTTGTTCTCCAAACAAACTGCAGCCTGGCTAGAGTTTGACCCACTACCTGCTTCCTACCTGTGTTCTCCCAGGGCTTGGGTTTTCCCTTATTGATGCGCTGATGCAGTAGCAATGCTTTCCACACTGCCCCCTAGCTCTCAGGGGCCTGAGAGTCCCCGTCTGATGAGCTGAATCCAGCTTGGATTTGTGTCTCCTGGGCTCAGCCACTCACTGCTCCTAGCTCCTAGCTCACACCCCTCTCTGCAGCAAGGTCCCAGTATAAAGCTGCCAAATGCAACCCCCGCCACCCCCCGGTCCCCACTTCAGGCCTGGGACTCTGCCCACCTGCTTGTTTATCCGTCAGTGGTCTGATCAGTTTCCTAACCCCTCGTCCCGCACGCAAACCTTGAAGGGAAATACGCATTATGTAAGCTGCTGATTCCACACGTTGAGGCTGCACCAGCACTCACGGGGGGACATGCTGGTGCAGGGTCATGCTCACAAAGGGACACACTCACCATCTCACCCACTGTTGGCTGAGCTATCACTACTGCAGGCCATCTGCTGAGCACAACGTAGTTAACAGGAATAATCTGTCACACAATGTGATGTGCTGATAAAAGTGTAAGATATGGCTGATTCTGGGGGAATTTGGTGCTTCACAAAGGAGGAGGCTTCCCTGCAAGAAACGATCCTCAAAGTCCAGGGCTTGTAAAGTTGGGGTATGACTATACCCCATAAGGACTCTAAATAAGCAGAGGGAGGGGTGGTAGGAAAATGTATGTGTGAGTGTCAGGGTGTGTGAATATGTGTGTGAGTGTAGGGGTGCATGTGAGTGTGTGTGTATGAGTATTGGGGTACATGTGAGTGTGTGTGAGTGTAAGGGTGCATGTGCGTGTGTGTGAGTGTTGAGGTGTGTGTGAGTTGAGTATGTGTGTGTCAGGGTATGTGTGAGTGTGTGAGTGTGTGTGTATGAGTGTTGGGGTGCATGTGAGTGTGTGTGTATGAGTGTCAGGGTGTGTGTGAGTGTAGGGGTGCATGTAAGTGTGTGTATGAATGTTGGGGTGCATGTGAGTATGTGTGTCAGGGTGTGTGTGAGTGTAGGGGTGCATGTAAGTGTGTGTATGAATGTTGGGGTGCATGTGAGTGTGTATGTAGGAGTGTCAGGGTGTGTGTGAGTGTGTGTGTGAGTGTTGGGGGGTGTGAGTGTGTGTGTCAGGGTGTGTGTGTGTCAGGGTGTGTGTGAGTGTGTGTGTGTGTTGGGGTGCATGTGAGTGTGTGTGTAGGAGTGTCAGGATGTGTGTGTGTGTGAGTGTGTGTGTCAGGGTGTGTGTGAGTTTGTGTGTGAGTGTGGAAGGATGGGCTTGAGGAAGCAAGCAGCACCTGCCTGGGCACCATGGGAGCACTCTGGGGCTGGCAGCTGAGCCCACATCTGTGAACAGAGGAGTCAGGTGGGAATCTCCTCCCCCGACAGGCAGGGAGCAGGCTGAGCAAGGGTCTATGGGCTCTCCGGACGCCGAGTGCTCAACACCTGGTGCCTGCCTTCCAGGCCGTATCATGCTTCTTTCTCCTCTGGCCAGCTCCAAGACAGAGTCAGTGGGCACAGACACGCTGCCCGACTCTAAGAAGTGTTTGTGTTGCTTTAACAGGTAGATTTGGGCTAAAGCACGCATCCTTCCCTTGCTCAGCCCCCTAACTGCCCTATGGACTTCTGCTTGTCCTAAATGAGTACATACTCTTTAGTTGGGTTATTATTTTTTGAATATAAAAAAAAATGATCACCTAATCTCTATGAAGCTTTCGAATACTAGAAAGTAGAATTTAAATAAGATTGAAAGCACCAAGTCTAACCAGCTACTCTTAACACTGGACACTTCCGTCCTTCTCTGCATCTATAAATAGACGTTTATTCAATGAACAAATAGCTTTTGGTCACCTCTTAGGTACCAGGGACCATGAAAGACCCTAAGATCATGTCTTCTTCTACATAGAATCATCTTCTACGGGACACACACTCAGATCATTGCTAAAACCTGGGTTTCGTTGGAAACCGGATCGAGAGCTACACAGGCATGGAAAAACAGTGCTAGCCCTTGGAAAGCAACAATAGATAAGAAAAGCGTAGTTCTCACGAATCTCATTATCTAATGTGAGAAACCTAATACTACAAACAAGGAATCAAGCCTTGCACAAAATCCTTGGAAATCAAAGCAGTTGGGCAGGAAGAATAAAGATGAGAGGCAGACTAATGAGGGGGAGGTGGCACTGGGTCGGCATTTACATGGACGTGTAGGGAGGCTGGCAAAGGCAGGCTCCCCTGAACCTCAAAGATGAGGCGCAGCCAGCTGTGGGAAGAATCGGGGGAGGTCATTCTAGACACCCCAACTTTGTAGTCTGAGAAATATAAAGACGTGGAGGTTTAACCACTGAGATAATTTTCCTCACCAAAAGAATAGATCTGCTCTCAAAGAGCAGTCTAAACTATCAGTTAATACCCGACATGTTGGAATCTGTAGACTGGTTTCACAGAACACTCACTTGACACAAAGTGCCCGTAGGGGTGAGAGCGCGTGACATCGGCGCAGTCTCTAAGTGTCCTCTCTCCCTCCCTCACCTCTTCCCTTCTTCCGTGCTTTCCTCCCTCCTCCCCTTTCTCCCTTATTCTCTATGCCTTCCCCCGCCGGTTCCTCTTCAGAGAAGGAGATACGGCTCGATCCCCAGTCAGGGAACTAGATCCCACCTGCCACAACTAAAGGTCTTGCATGCTGCCACTTGAGACCCAGTGCAGCCAAATGTATAAATATATATATATTAAAAAATAAACTTCTTTCCCATAGCCTCCTCCATCTCCTTCTCATTTCCTTCCTTTACCCCTTGTCATCCTGTAGTTTTTTTCTTTTTTTTTTTTTTTGGGTCATTCATTCATTTATTATTCAGACCTAGACTACTTCCAAAAAGGATGAGAAGCCATTTCTTCCCTTATTCAATTTTCTGACCATTTTCCTTCTTTCTCTCCTTTCCTAATCACTTTCCTTTTCAGAAGGACAATGTTAGGATAATTAAAGAAGGCTGGTTCC